TCTACGAGCTAATCCGGTGGTTCTTAACCTTGGGTTACTCAGGTGTTTTTGGACTGCAACTCCCAGAAGCCTTCACCACCAGCTGTGCTGGCCGGGGTTTCTGGGAGTTCCAGTTCAAAAAAACCTGAGTAACCCAAGGTTAAGAACCACTGAGCTAATCAGTCTGAGATGCTGCGTATGAAAGGCTCCACTGCTCTACATAAAGACCCATGAGTGAGTGCCGCATGCTGTGTCAAGCTACCCTACCCCAGTGCAAAAACTGCATATATTAGGAAAAACTCAACATTAACCCCAAAAGTAAAGGGCTGTAAATATAATAAGTATGTGTCAACTCAGTTCTGTCCTGTGGTGAGTCTCACACCATTTTCCAAGCATAAAGTTCTCAGAAATGGCTTTCCAGTCCCTTGTCCGGGTGGTGGTGTGGGACCACATAGCTTGCTATCATGGCACACATCTATCCAGCGTACACCGTCTGGGCAACCCTGGCCCTCTCCCAGGAGGCATGGTGGGGATTTGAATTCCCAGCACAGACTTTGTAGGCACTGAAGCACCCTGACCCACTGAGCTCAATAAGATACAGGGAAAGGAAAAAATGGATGAGGGAGAATTCTAAGCAGACATATAAACTATATGCATTGCATATGCACATAGATTGAAAAGCTGTGTTACAGTCATACCTCGCTTTACGATTGCCCCGTATAACGACAAATCCGCTTAATGGTGCCTTTTTTGCGATCGCAAAAGCGATCGCAAAATGATGCTTCCTATGGGCAAAATCTGCTGTGGGATGATCGGTTCCCTGCTTCGGGAAATGATTTTTCACATTACGACGATCAGCGAACAGCTGATCGTCAGGTTCCAAAATGGCCACCGGCTGAAGAAAATGGCCTCCCGCTGTTTTCTAGGATGGATTCCTTGCTAGACAGGCACAGAAAATGGCCGCCGTATAGAGGATCTTCGCTGGACGGTGAGTTTTTAGCCCATTGGAACGCATTAACTGGGTTTTAATGCATTTCAATGGGTTTTTTATTTTCGCTTTACGATGTTTTCACTCTACAGCAATTTCGCTGGAACGAATTAACATCATAAAGTGAGGCACCACTGTATTTTTAGTAACCATTTCTTCTTGCAGCATTTTAGCTGTTGGTGTGCAACTGTGACCCTGGGTTTTTTTTTTCCTCACAAAAGAACATTGCCACTTTTGCTTTTCATTTATCCTTTCCGGAATTCCCATGTTGTCTGTAGCAAAAACGAAATGAATTGTGTTATGGTGCCTTAAAGATAAGCAACGTAGCCTCCCTCAACAAATGTATGTCGTATAGCTCCAATATAGACAGATGTGTATATGTGTGGAAGGAGGAGAGAATGAGAATTATACATAGAAAGTGTCCTGCAAAGATGCTTGGTGGGTTGCATAAATTTTGTTGAGGGCCTTGGCCCCTTCTCCTGCAGAGCAAAGGACAGCAAAACAAAGCAAAGCCAAAATGAAAATTTCACTGGCAATAACTTGTTACCAATGTCCAAACAAACCTCCAGACATTGGGATGTCTACCTGCTCTTAAAACAAAAGGAGAGAAGGGTTACAGTTCTAGCTTGAAAGGATCGTTTGTAACTCCCTCGCTCCCACATGTCAGTTTTCATGGACGAAAATCTGAATGTCCTCTAGCCAGCTCCGGATCTACAGACTTCCTACGTGAGACTGAAAGATTTGTGTCTTTTACACATCTGACAAGAAATCTGATTATGGTCTCAGAATATATTGTACCTTGTTTATATTCAATTTAGTCTTCATTCTTGGATACCCTTTAATATTTTAACTTGGAAGTTTAAATATGTTTCCTTCTCTTCTCTAAAAGGTTTATTTATTTAACAAGAAATGATGTAAATAAGGGCCAAAAATATAAAATATACTTGGAATATATATTACAAATACAGAAGTGTATATTCCAAAAATCAAATTCTTCTAATACAAAACTTTCTATTCCATATATGTAGATAGTATTTTTTTTCTATATAAAAATGTTAGTTCTAATAAAATATGAGCTTCTGTTTAAGCGGCATAAAACTTAAGTTTAATAATTCAAAAGTATACAAGGGAAAAACTATTTCCCCTTAGTAAAAGACTATTTTCTTAACAAAAATCTATCAGATACAAATCTCATACAGTCAATTAAAAATCTCTATTGCAATACATATTATTTATAAAAACAAATTGAGCATAATGTAAGCATAGAAAATAATTCACATTGCATTAAATAATTCTCACCCATTTTCCAGCAGAGAGATTTCTCCCTTGTTTATAAAAAGAGGTGTCTGTATCCTTTGGGAGGTGATCCGTAAACATGACAGAAATCTCTGTTTATATACTTTTGATGTTTTGGGTTCGTCAGAACCTTATGACTTTTTGCTTTCTTGGGAAAAAGCAGTCTCCTTGCGGGGGGAGACTGCTTTTACTTGCTAGGGTACCAGCCAGTTGAGTTAGCTGAGCCGTAAATTTCCCCCACATGGAGTAATTTCCTTAGCACCATATTTGGGCAGTACAGTACATTTTGAATGCTAGTTTCCTGCTTTTTATATTTCCCAATTAAATCCCTTGACTTTTTTTCCGGCCATATATTTTTCTGAAACCAGTAACTGACACACATGCTTGCCTGAAACAAGCCTTCACATTGCCAAGGGAGAGGAAGGGGCTAGAAAAAAATCAGCATTCACCAGAATAATAGCAATTAAGTGGTTTGGACTAATTCAGGATCTGATGACCAGGAACCCTGAAAAAAGTCTGAAGTGGAATAGTTCCTTGTTACTGGATCCTGAATTAGACCAAAAATATAAGCACAGGACTCTTCAAAACATAGCATTTGGAAGTGGTAAAATCTTAGTTGCTTTTACCATATGATATCTAATGGATTTACTGTAGAAGATTTTTTTTCATCAGGAAGTTTAGCAGTGTGAGAGAGGGTTCTTCTCAGTGTAAAAGCAGGAATGACAGACAAGTACTGTGGTGAATGTAATGGGTAAGCTTTTCAGCTTTCCAACTTGCCAGTATATCTCATTTGCAAGATGACAGAATCAGACTTCCTCTTGCGGGTGCTTTTTCCCATTGAAACTACAATCTTACACAATGAACTTGTTTAACATTCAGAAACAAGCATGGGGAATATCTTTGTTAAATTGCTAAAATATCAAATCTCTAATAATGTGAATACTCACACTTAAGATAACATGTGTAAAGATATATACACAAAAGATACAGTATATCAGTACATGTCCCAAGTGCTCAAAAGTAAACAGAACACTTATATTATATTCCCCGTCACATTCATTATACAATTGCCATTCTAGTCTACAAGTAAATCTACATTGGATTCCTTGTATGTTTATCGTCTAACCATCCCTACATATATCACACATATTACTTGAATGTGCTAAATAAAAACTGAAGGGATTTGTTGTTCTGTTCCCTAAAGTAATTTATTGCTTCCCCTCTTACTGAACAAACCACCAAGCACCTCAACAAGGAGTTTTAGAAAGATTTTCATGACATGCAATACGAGTGAGCCTAGATCAACATCACAGCCAGGTAGTGTGACATTTGAGACTGACTGTTCCAGATGCTTGGATTACCCAACACAGAGCTATCATACCTACTAAGAGATTGTAGGCATTTAGGATTACAACATGCAATAGGATATTGACAGATATCACAAGAATCCCAGCTTAATTCCTTTCAAGCGCCAACATCTTTTACAAACATGCTGACTGGAGCTGAACTGCAATATTAGAAGGTCATCTAAAGCAACTTCAGGATAACACCTCCTTATGTAAAGTGTTCCTCACTGATCTATATGGTTTCTGCAATGAATGGTAGCCAAGGAGAGAGAGAAGAAGACTGGCCGATGGGCAAAGTGTCTGTTTCCCTGAACTCAATTTCATTTGTTTTCTGAACTCAAGTTCATTTATATGGGAAGTATAGTGGTGAAATGGGGTGGGAGCAAGATTCTCTCTAAAGCATGTGTGCCCATGCATGACTCCGTTTCCTTCCGTGCAGCTTTCCTCCTCCACACAGTGATCATTTTCAGCCTCTTTGGTTCAGGTTGTGTCAGAACCAAGAAGCTTCAGACATGCTGGCTTTCTATGCACAGACTGGCTGCTATGGATTTGATAACTATGGCCTTAACAGCTTGGCTCAGGGGTTCTATTGTTCCAGAAGCCACAGCTTGAATAACTAGTGGAACAACAGTTAAAGAACATAGATGTTGCCAAAGCAGAAGACTGTGAACAAGCATCATCTTCAGGCACATGTATAAACTGTTGTATTCCAACATAATGCATCTAAAAGATTTTCAGTTAGTTGCCTCTCTATCTTCCTTTGGTCTCCCAACACTGGGTAGGAAGAAAGAATGAACACCCCCCCTTTCTTTTGCCTGTTTAACTAGTGAAGAATGGTGCCTAAATGGAGTCCTAAATACACTATTTTTAAATTTCAGACCAAGGAAATTCAAAGGTAGCCCACCATATAATACCTGTCCAATTTTTGGGAACCAGCCACCATATCATGGACAAATTCCACTAACTGGTGCTTTTATTGGGCTCATGAGCAGAGATGCTGCACATGTTTCAGGGACAAAATGCCTTTCTTTGAAAAGGACACACCATATCCAGATATTGGATATTTGCCTCTTGACAACAAAAATGCAAACATGTGAAGCACCATTTTTATTCACTGAAAAAAGATGTACTGGCCAAACTAATTGTTATAAGAGGTGCAGAGTCACCCTTTCCTCTTATCTTTTCTAGTTACGCCTTGTCACGTGCTCCGTGATGCTGCTGACTGCCAGATGCATGATTGTGTTTGTTGGAAGGAAAGGAGTAGCAAGAACTCTACATTTCACGGCACCTCGTTCACTCCTATTTGCTTTGCAATACTTCAACAATATGACTAATTACCATTTTGATGACTATTCTTACCAGCTTACGCACATTTTGATCAGTGATCTTACCAGTTTCTGAGTTAGTCCAGGTGGAGCCCATTCATACGTCACAGTGTCAAATGTGGGATCTTTCCGAGACACAATAGGATTAGTGATGATCATGCGGTTCCTTTTATAGATGCGAACGCCATCACCTCCTTTCACCCGGGCAGTTAGTGAAGAATATTTCGAATCAGAGAGCAAACGGCCAATTTTCCGGTCGTCTTCAGCGTCAGAGTTTAGGCTGTGATCTTCCTGGCTGCATTTGCATGACTTGCATATTTTCCTGTGGGAGACAAATGAGGTCATCCTTTGATAGAAGCTGCATCCCAAGAGGCATGTGCTCTTTGGAGGCTCAAGGGTGAACCTTCAGGGAGGGAAAACGCTGAAGGTTGAATATCAAAATGGATAGTGACACAGGCCAAAAGACCTTGGTTGGCAAAGCTTCAGCTTAGTCTGGAGATGAAAGTTAGTAATCTGTGGATTTATGGGATTTGCAATGGTATGGAATAAAAGTTTAAAAAGCTACACTATAGGGGCTCTGGAGGAAAAACCATAGGTCGCCATGACTGAGTGTTCCTTTTATGTTGCTGGGAGTACAGCTACTAAGTTGCATGAAACAGAACTTTAAGTTGCATGCATTTTTCAAGGACTTCTGAAACAAAATTATGCAAACCTAATTAGTACAATGAAAACATCCAATGATGACATTTCAACACAGCTGCATAAGTGTTTAAAGAGATAAGATGTAGAACTTCCTGAAATTTATTTAGATTTGGAATGGACTGGTACATTTGGAAAATGCCTATATTAGAGGTGAACAGATATAGACAGGCAGGCAGGGCTGGCTGGATAGCTCAGTGGTTTAGATATCTGACTGCAGAGCCAGAGGCTGGGAGTTCAATCCCCCACTGTGGCTCCAAGGAAAAGAGCCAGCCTGTGTAGCTTTGGGCAAGCAGCACAGTCCCAGGACACCCTCAGGAAAAAAAAAGAATGGTGGCAATTCTGTGTATTATCTACTCAGAAAACTGTGTAAAAGGTTTTCCTTGACAGCACATTATTATTATAGAGGGCTGGTGGTGGTAGAGATAATTACAATATCTGCCATCCCTTACTTGGGCTAGGCTGCTACAGTTGATGGGAACTGCTGTTCAACCACATCCAGAGTTGCACACTCCACTCCAAGAAGTTCTTTTTTCCTGACTTTGCCCAAAGTTAAACACACACACACACACACACTGATTAGAGGCCTTTCCAAACCTATAATATTTGTTTAATTCTTTTTAAATACTTGTATACCTACTGTTCTCAGCTTTTAAATATTTTTGGTTCGTTTTAAACAATGCAAGCTGCCTTGGGTTCTTTTTAAGAAGAAAGATGGGATAAAAATATCTTAAATAAGTGAGCGAGTGAGCGAGTGAGCGAGTGAGTGGGTCGGTCGGTCGGTCAGTCAGTCAGTCAGTCAGTCAGTCAATCAATCAATCAATCAATGTGGAGATGTTGGATCCTCAACTTGGCACCGCCTGCACACAGATTACATGCTATGCTACTAAGGCTATTACCCTTTCCTTTAAGGAAATAAAGGTCTCTATCCAAAGCAAAACACAGCATAGATGTTTGCCAATGCTATACTCTATATTTTTGTAATTATATAAAAACTGGTTTTTTTGTCTTTCATTGCAATGGTTTTAGCAAGCTTTTGGTCAGTCTGGCTATGTAAATGAAAAACGAAAAAGGGATCAAAACAAGAGATCCTGTGGAATCAGCAGTAAATTTAACTAGCTGTCTGGTTTTGGAAAGAGACACTAGCCAACTGATACTTTGGAGAAGTCAACAGAGGGAAGAGCCCTGTCTCATTACTGACATCAGCAACCCACGGTCATGGTACTCTGCTCTGGAATAATTAGATCTGGAAGCCAGCGCTTCACGCAAATTACAGTTCATCAACTGTATTTTAATCTATATAATGCACGGAGTATTAGGATGGGGTGTGAGTATAATTGCGTTGGCATCATGCCCTCTTCCCCTCATCGTGCAAACAAAGGTCAGTCATGTGGCAGTTCTCGTTCCAATGCCACAAAAGAATGTTTGTTTTCTACCGGCCTTGCCAAAGTTAATTTCGGAAGACTAGTATTACAGAACAAGGGCAAATGCCTTCGCTTAGGATTCCTGAATGCTTCCAGTTCCAAGGTACACCAAGTCAGTGTGATTACATTTCACTTCTAAAGTAAAAATAGCATATAAAGGCTTCAAGGGGAAAAAAAACATTGCAGAGAACCAAGAAACCATGTCAACGTCTGTCCACAAATTCCATTCTACAAGGCAATTCTTTGTCCTAAATAGGTTTAGAGCCACAGAAAGAACATGCAAGTGATGATTGGAGATATGAGACTGTAGGGATGGCACTCATGTCCCTCTTTTCCATAACTTCTCCCAGGTAGCACACTGTCCCTAATCAGAGGCGACCCTAGATATTTTGCAGCCTGAGTTGGAATAGAAAACACTTACCATTCATGCACCATAAATCAAAGTATATTGTCCCAATGGTTGATTAATTTATTTAGGCATCCAAAATAGCCCCTCTCTTTTTTTTCTGATAAATAAAATACAGTACTGACTGGTTTTCTAACCCTCACGCTACCCCAAACAAGCTGCCTTTTAATCATTTATGTTTGGGGAATGCCCTACAAAAATCAGTTAGCTCAAGTTGTTAGCATTGACTCTTTCTTTGGCATTTAATTTCCCAACCAAGAATTTCAGCAGGTAGTCTGAGAGGGAAATAGAGATTATAAATCTCATCTCTAAAACACGTATCATAATATTAAGGCATCAGCAGGTCACGATCTGCCATTTCAAGAGCTGACAAGAATCATCATGCTGATTTCATAACATTTTTTAAAAAGCATGAACATTTTCCTTAGCAGCCCTGCTTGCACATCACAATAAGCTTGGGTTGGTGACACAAGGTGCATCTTTCCTGTAAATAAAACAATGATCCAGAGTTTATCATGATGTATAACCATGAAAGCGAGCAAGTTCTGTAGCTGACCTTCTCCGCAAGCTAGAAAACTAGCCCTCAAAAATACACCAGAGAGAAGGTAAAGAGCTAACTTTTGCTAGGTTCCTCTGTTATAGTAGGATAGCATTCTGATGTTACAGTGGCAAACAAAATGTCCACAGAAAAAATCTCTACCAATACATGAGTGCAAAAGCATGATCCTACTTCTGCTCCCCAGTAATTTGTACCAGAATACTTGCCATCTCTGATATTAATCATACTAAGCATTCACAACTAATAGTTATTGACAGCCTCATCCACTATGCATTTCTTTAAAGACACCCAAAATGGCAGCTATCACCAATCTTATGGTACTGGATTCCACAATCTAATTATGTGCTCCCCCACCCATCATTGAATCTCCCATCATTCAAAATCAGATACTGATTCTAGTATTATGGAACAGTTGCGCCATCAACTTTCTTCATGTCAAGCAAGATTTTATATATTTCCTATCATGTTTCCTCTTACTCATGTTTCTTGAAATTGAACAGCTCAAACATCACAATCTTCTATATGGGGTCGGGGCTGCTCCAGCCTATGACTGGGTTAGTTGTTCTCTTTTTTTCAGCTATACAACATTCCTTTTCAGGTAGACCAACCAGAATTATACAGAGAAGGCAACTTCTTTGGTAAGACAATTTCCCTGACAAAATACTTTTGGATCCAATGTCTGTGGCTGAAGGCCACCCCATCTCGTGTACTTTCCAGTCTGGTCCTTCAAACAAACTGAGTTCCAACTAGAGAATCACATGTTCTCCAGGAACAGGTAAAAGACTACAATGCACACAAAACAACCATAACCTGGGTAAAATAATTGGTGGTGTAGGCTAATAACGTAATGCATGGGTAAATAAGAGTGAGACCCTCGAGACTGGTGGTTCCCAACCTTGGGTTCCCAGATGCTCTTGGACTACAACTCCTTGAAATCCTGGCCAGCACAGCTAGTGGTGGACGCTTCTGGGAGTTGCGGTCCAAGAATATCTGGGGACCCTAGGTTGGGAAACCATGTTTTTAGATGTTATTGAACTGCAACCTCTAGAAGTCCCAGAAAGCACAGCTAAATGTGAGGAATATTGAAGTTGCAATCCAACAACTCATGGAGGAAACCCCATATTCTGCCTCTCCCTCTTCTAAAATGACTGGCAGTCGTTCTCTGTCTCAGGTGAGATTTTTTTTTTATTTTTGGTCAGACAACTGTTCCATTACTTGTTCAACAAGAGAATCCAGGGACTGAAGTTGAAACTTTCTCCAAGTGAGCTTTGATTCCACTCCGCTATGGTCTTCTTGACAACTATTATCCCAATCTTAAAGTGACTGAGGGAAAAAGGAAATATCTCAAAACAACAGCAGATTGAATAATGCATTTGGAATAAGTCTCAGGAACTTGGATCCAGGCAACCTATATTTCATATTTCTTTCCTTTGCCAATCATCAGCCAGATAGTATTGTCTTTCAGATTTTATATATCATTCTCCATTGATTTAACATAGGTCATTTCACTGTGGTCATTAAAAAGTACTTTCTGGCTTCTGAGTAACCATAATGTAAGTGAAGTCAAAAATGTATTTCTATGTTGCTAAGATGATATATTGGCGCTATCATTTGTAGCAAATGGAACCAGGATCCCAATGACACTAATCCAAATAGCTCTTTTTAAAAGGACACCATACAATAAACAGGTATAAACATACAATATAGGTGCCCTGTTCTTTGTGGTTTCTGTTGTGCTACTTGCTAACTTCTTAACATAGACCTCAACAACATCCATATGACAAACAAGAAAACACAGACACTATAACAAAGGACAATGTCAGACACAGGAGCTAATGATTTGATGATCACTCCCAATGAAAGATGTGAGGAAGGATATATATTTGAAGAGAATGAAATATATCACTGTGGCTGTGGGAGAGTAACTGGGCATCTGATCTTCCATTTCTATGATCAGATTTTGGCTCCACCTGTCATCCTCAATGGTTTTCAGGGACGTCCTCAGAAACAGCAGAAGCTTCTGTTACAGCATCATGATAAGAAACCAGATGGCAGGTTCCTATATAATCATTGGCAACTGGACAGTCCAACACAGCAGCTCTGAAGGATTGTGTCTCTGAGGGAGACTACAATTAAATCAGAATTAATCCACAACATTTGTAGGGTGAAAAGTTCAAGAACCTTTTCAGCCACAGGGGAATTAGAATAGTGGCCCCTATTGACTGTGGTCATAA